AGACCAAGCAGTTGTCTCAGCCACAAGAGGATGACGTAAACTAGGTAGAATTGTATGTGCAACATCACGGTTCAATACAAACTCTTCTACGCGTGTGACAGGCCGCTAAATTAATAAAAAGTGGATAATTGGCCATTATTTTGCACCTCAAGAGACTGTAATGTTTTTTTCTTTCGTTCCGAAATTTGGAAAGCTTTTTTGTTATCTTATAAAGCCGTATAAATTATTCAGTCGCACATATGGGTGTTCAAAAAAGCTAAAAATAACGTTTTGAGTTTTCTGACAACATAATTGTAATGAGTGATGCGAATCTAATTTACTACAATTTAGTGCTCGGTTATTCCGCATAACTGAAGCGCTTCAGATATCTCACGGTACATAAACATACCTTACGGCTTACTGGATATCTGTTCATTTAAAAAAAAAAATAATGCGAATTCTTCTATTTCATTACATTTGTTTTATTTATATCACACTAGGGAGAAATTATGATAAATGTCGGATACAAATGATTGTTGCTTGTCACTTAATGTAGTTCACAATATTATTTTTTTAGTCAAAAATAAAATTTAGCTTTATTTTTTACTCGAATCCCGTAACCATAAATTGACAATTCACGAAGACACGTATCATGTTCAGGCTGGTTAAGTAAGGTTCAAAAATCTTAAATTACGTCACGTTAGTATTGTTAATATTAGGTTAGCGAACCTTTCTAATTGAGCTTCTCTAAAGTCCATATCAAGTCGAGAAGAGCTACAATACTTAGCCTTTTTTATCCTCCAGTTTCTCGCCATTAACACAACTCGGAATTAAATAACAAGATAACGGGAAAAAAGGCCGGTGCCTTCGATCCGAAGCAGCGATCAAGACCCGGTGCAAACAACCCTTCGGGACCCCGGGAACTCTGGCGAACATCGCACGCAGTGAAGGAACGTGGCAAACAGTCGGAGGCTCTCCGGAGAACTAGACGGTCGGAGTGAGGGAAAACCTCGCACAACAAAAACAACAACAACGAACAGATTCTCAGACGAGAATTACCGGCGTCTCTCCTCTGCTCGGTCTTCATTCTTTTCTCTCTTTCATTTGATTGCAAGCGAATCGACAGACACCAACTAAGCAAAAATACAACTGAGATTGAAAGTTTTACTGGTCACAGTAATTCCTACCAGAAAGCATTTTATGTTGGTTCTCCAACAATAAATGGAAATCGCGTCGCAAAGAGCACGGCAGATATTACGGAACCATCATTGTCAAGAGTGTGCTAGCACAAAATGTACGGTCGTCGTCATCCGGTTAGTATACACTTTTATCTTGTTGCTTTCCTTCGATATTGATATGTGTGTCTTATTAACCATTATATGCTATGTTTGAGTCAGGTGGCAGCAACTGTGATGTCATCAAACCTTCTCGTCTTGTATTTACGATTTTTTTCCTTCAAGGTAATCATATAATTCACTAGTTATTGTTAGTTAGGACAGATAATACAAGTGTTCACATGAGCCAAATTAAATATAAGAAAAAAACGTTAAAGAGCTTAATGGGTCAATATTGGGAGCATGAGGAATGGTGTTGAAGCTTTATTAAGTTTACGCTTCATTTACACAGAGTCGTCGTAGTGCGACATTTTTTTTAAGGGCAATGCAGATAGTTTTAATCAAGAAATTGCCTACTTTTTTACGCGAGCAATGTTAAAAGGAATGTAAAGAAGGCAGAAATAAGAAGTGTGCGTGGAATTAAGTCGGTGAGGCAGTGAGTAAGTTGGATGTCAGAATATGCGTCTTTTTTTCTTTCGCCTGAATATAGTGATATATGCTCTGTTATTATGTAAGTAATAACGCACTGTTGAAGTGAACCGAATAGGCGACATTTGTGTCTCGGTTTATAAACTAAAAACAAGGCTTGTTGAAGCCTTGTGTATAAATTGGTATTGATGTATTTTATTCGAAAATATGTTTAGAAAGTTTCATAGGTGTGCGCGTGCGTAAGGTCGACTTTACGTTGTTGTAGTTCTTTTTTATGATGGCGGTGGAATATATATATAAAAAACCTATATTACCTTAAAACAAATGTAAATATTCAAGGCATTCAAATGGGTATAGATGATAGGAAAACCAATAAAGACAACTTTGCTAAAAATAAAAACCACATATTGCACACTATTTTTTGTTTCTGAACATATATATGTAATTTTTTTCACAGCGGAGCTGTTAAGGGCCAGGTTCCCCAGGATCGTGTCCGGTATCAAACGCGTGTCAACACAAACCCACCTGGACAGTTACCGCCGTCTATAAGAGACGGCGGCAAGCACACAACCAGTCTGGTTGCCACAGTCGCTCGTAGATGGCGGCAAGCTTGCCACCTATAATAGAAGGATGTATAGTTGGGCGCGTTGGTGGGAATTCATCGTAGCAAACAGTGCGAAAAACAGACGAAGACGATGAAGAGGCATACGTAATGAGCGCAGCGCTCGTCACGTCTGTTGCTTCGTCCTCGTCTGTTTTGCGCGCTGTTTCCTACACTCTTATCAGTTTCGGTTTGGACTGGGGATGAGTTGGCCGCGCACCCTTTCAGGGAAAGAAGACTGGCTGCGGAAGGAGCGGCGACGTTCGCAGCCGTGCGAATGGGTCCGCAACCGTCTCAAAGCCGCTGTCGCCTCGACTTCCACTGCGTCCAGCGCTTCAGATTTCCTTGCCAAAGATGAGCACATCGCTCTCCTGGAAAGAACCAGCGATGTAAAGGACGCCGCCGGGCCAACGCCACGGACGACGCTCGTGCCACGGAGGCCAAGCGCAAGCGCGAGGCCCGGCGACGACTGCACTCCACGCGGGCTGAACAGTTCTCGGGTGCGACGGCGAGGTTGCGGATGGAGTTCGTGGAGAAACAGTTTGGCGTAACCTGCGCCGTGTGCGACCGACTTGTTCGCCGGAGACGTATCCACGATCGGCGGCGTGTCGAACGAAAGAAGCGGGAAACGGGTGCGTGCGCGTTGCGGCAGTGTAACGAGTACAGCTCCGCTGGTCTTCCTTCTTCACAAGAGTGGAGAGGCTGAACGTTTTTTTAAATAAAAATAATCTTTATTTTTAGAAAGATGCCGTGCTGTTAGATGCGAACGTGAAAAAATTAACGTTACAAAAAGTCTTTAAAATACTTTGCGATAGGAGTCTGGAGCACCGCTTTTCTATTCTACGTTTATTTAACGTTCTACTGAGGTGGGTTTAAACCATTGATGAGTTTCGCGGACTCCTTGCGGATCAGCGGAGAGAATGGAGGACCTTGTTCGTAGTGAGGCGAAGGCAATGGAATAGGTTAATTATGATAATGTTTCAATAAATGAATATAACTAAGGGATGGTGCGAAGTAGATTTTTCATATTTTCATACATACGAGACAACTCACCCGAAAATTGGAACGTTTCATCTCAATATAAAGGAAATACAACTTTTATTGCCGGGCTTGTCTGATAAGACAGGGCCTCGCGGACCCCTAGGAGGCCTTCGCGGACCCCGAAAGGTCCGAGAACCACTCGGTTAATGTATAAAAAGAAGTCACTGAAATGGCAGTAATCAATATATAAACTTGAGTAAACAGATAATAAAAACAAATTTCATTCTTTGTTTAGCAGATTTGTGAGTTTGAAAACGATCAAACAGGAAAGTTTTTTTTTGTCTCAAGATAGTTTCAATAAAAAGTCGTATCTCGATCTCCACGGCCTAAAATTTTAAGAAAGAAAATAGAAAAAGTGGCATCTTCATTCACTCTTCAATTTAAGATTAAAGAACTTCTTGCTCATTGCTTTCAGAAATAAGTTGCGCCATTAAAATGAACGTGCAGGATTCAGCCTTTTAAACCATGACAACAAGCGTTGCATAACTATTAAAAAACATATTTTAAGAATTGGCCACTAGATTAAAATTCGTAGAGTTCTATCAGGAACGTGAAAGAACTACTTACCGTATAAGGTTTATATAGTTATTGGTTCCAAACACCTATTTTTCTTCTTTGTATGAGCTTCATAAAGACGTTCGTAGTAAAATTATATTAATTATATGACGGACAGTTTAAATGGATCAAGAGCAATGGCAAGATTAAAAATATATATACATTCCGTTTCTCATCGTAAATTTTAATAAAATCAACTATGCTAAACATCACAATATACTAATCGTAACTAATAATCCGGAAATATTAACGTGTTACACGTAGAAATAATAGAGACTATGCCTAAGGGTGGCAGCCGTTTATCAAGACTGGGCCACATCCTGGAGCATGGTAACACCACCAATCTGCCGGGGCTTCCCAGCCCCTTGCGCACGGTGAAGCCACCGAACACCACCCTGGAGGGCTTGCCCGGACACTTCGCCGGGTTCAGCCAGACTTGAGACCAGCTGAAAGATAACCGTCCCAGCGAGCAACTCACTAAACAACATTAGGCCCACATCACCCGTAACATCATCCTGCCACACTCGCCCAATATGTCCATTTCATCATCGTCAGCACCTGCTGTCTTCTGCACAGAATCTCATCTCATCGTCATTAGGGGCGGCGCCGCAGGCATCCAGAGTATGGGCCACTTGCCTTTCTGTGGCGCCGTAGTTCTCCCGAAACAAAATAAATATTACTATAAATATTATTATTATTATTATTATTATTATTATTATTATTATTATTATTATTATTATTATTAATAATAATAAGTCCAACAGGGCGGTCGTTCACTTCAAGAGCTCTTCATATTTTCCCCTGTAATTAATACTTCTAAAGCATCATTACGACGGGCAAGCTATTCATGCTGCTTACCAAGCACCGTGTCACTCCGGGGTCAGTCATTTCCCACTCCAAGGCCCCTATCGTCTTGATCTGACCATCGACTTCACAGGCAAGCTTCCACCACATCCCTTGGCGTCACGCTCTACGGCAGTTCTCTCCGACTGGAGCTCTTCTTGTTGAAGCTTCACGCCCGAGCACCGTGCGCCCGAGTTCGACCTGAGTGACAAGAAAATATGGCGGTGAGAAGTACGGCAACAACCGTTCTGATTACGGCTGGCAGGATCTATGAGGACCGCAAGCACGTTCCTTCAGGTATCACCTATTGATTCTCTGTGTCGTGCAGTTTCACGGGTGAGCAACTGCGCTCGAGCTCAGCACAAAACTGCCACGTGGAGTGTTCGTATACAACCTTGACTCATCTCGTTCTACACTTGTTCGAGAAGTGCGGATTGACTGGTGTCTGTGTTGCCTTACCGCTGTGTACTCGCCTTCCCTAATAATGGATTGTGCCAAATGTGCTCGCGCTCTGCCGGCAGATGGCAGATCCCTGACGTGTGCATCTTGCCGAAGGGGTTACCATCTTGGTAAGTCCTGTTCCGGCGTCGCAGATGGGACGTACGCGGGGATGGGCGCTGTGAGGCGAGAAACTTGGAAGTGTTCCACTTGCCGTACCGGCGCCTCCCTCAGACAATCCGATCTTAGCGGTGACATTTCAGTAGATGAATCCTCCCGTACCGACGGCAGCAGGGAGGAGATTGTAGATTATGCACCCTTCACCAGTCAGTTGGCATCAATCAATGCCACTCTTAACCAGCTCCTTTCATTGAGGACAAGTGTGGAGACGCTGTTGCCTCTTCCATCTAAGGTTGATCAGTTGTTGGCCTTAAAACCAGCTGTCGAAGAGCTTCGCAACACGGTCCAAGGATTACAAACGACTGTTGACTCTTTTAGCTTGAAGTACGATTCCGTGCTCGCTCTGGCTATGACAAATGAAGAGGCAGTTAAAGAAATTCAAAAGGAGGTTAACACGGTTAAGGCAACAATGACAGAGCAGTCGGAGACCATTGAGAGACTGAAAGACGAGCTTAATGACATGCAACAATACAGCCGTCGTTCCAACATGGAACTGCATGGTTTTCCGCTCTCTCACGGTGAGGATCTAATGAAGGTCATAAGTGATCTCGCTAGGCCCCTTAACCTTCCAACACCTCAGTCGTCAGATATCCTGGCAATTCACCGTCTGACCAAAAAGCCGGACTCAGTTCCGGTTATTTTGATTCGCTTCGCCTCTGTCACCCTAAAAGACGCTTGGATGGCGGCACGTGGTAGACTTCACAGGCTGTGCCAATCAGAAAACCAACCAAAGCTATTCTTCAACGACAACCTTACATCTGCGAATAAGGAGCTTTTTTGGCTGACGAGGGCGGGGGCTAAAGAAAAAGGATACCGTTTTGTGTGGACCAAGAACTCGAAGATTTTTGCTAGGAAAGCCGAAGGCGCACCAGCCATTCGAATCAACACAAAAAACGACCTTCTGCTACTGGTGTAAAACATGACAACTTGTTTTTCTGTTCCAGACATTAGTTCATTTATTCAGCTTTTGGGCCCTCTTTCTAATAACTCTTTAACACTTATTCATGTAAATATTCGAAGTTTGCGTAAACACTGGGATGAGTTTCGTGCAGTAATTAATACCTTTACCGCGTCGATAGATGTTTTCGTTCTAACTGAAATTGGTGTGTCATCTTTGCAATGCAATCAATTTATTCTCGATGGGTATAAGGAGTCCTTTTATACCCGTGATCATGGTAGAGGTGGTGGGATTGCTATATACGTTAAAGATAAATGGTTACTATCGCCTCTGAGCATATCTCTTGTCCATGCAGAAACACTGGCTGTTGAAATTTCTTTGGCAGGTTTTTCTTTATTTTTGTTAGCGGTTTACAGGCCTCCCTCAGAAAATGTTTCGCTCTTTCTTGCTGAACTAGATGCTGTGCTTAACCAGTTTCGTACGGAAGGACAATTTTGCGTCATTGGCGATTTAAATATCGATACTCTTAAACCTAATAAATCAATAGTTTTTGATTATCTGACTCTGCTCTCAAAATATGGCATTGAAAATATTATCACTTTACCCACAAGAGAAGAACTTTTGGTTCAGAAATTAGTAGTTTCCTGTATTGACCATATCAATATTCGTGCTCCGGATATGTCTGTAAAATCCGCCGTAATTACTCAGAAACTATCCGATCATTACTTTGTTGGATGTCGTTTAGACGCTCAGGTACCCGAAGAGCAAGGAACCAGGCGCGATTGTTCGTGGATTTCAATAACGGATACGGTACAATTCGATGCTTTGGTCGCTGCCTTTGACTGGAACGAACTCCTGGGGTCCATAGAACCTTCCAATGTTTATAAAGCTTTCGTCGAGGTATTTCAATCCTTTTATTGTGCCGCCAAGAAAAAGGTTAATTTCAAACGACGGTCTTATAAGCCATGGTTTAATTCTGATATTATGACTGCAATCAAAGAAAAAGATACGTTGTGGTCACGTTCCCGTCGTTCACCAAACAATTTGCAGTTAAAAGCAGAGTATCGAAGCGCTCGGAACAAAGCTAATGCAATTATACGGTCTGCCAAACGATGCTACTTTCAGCGAAGATTCTTTGAGGCAAGATCGAATCCACGTGAAACATGGAAGTTGATTAATTCTTTTACAGGGCGCGGAGAAAAGGATTCGCTTCTTGACTCCCTTCAAAAACACTTCGGCTCAGATCTGCAATCAGTAGTAAACGACTTTAACAAACTTTTTGCATCGTCATCGGGCTTTGCGCGAGACAGCGATTTCAAACCGCTTGCCTCGAGCGCAAGTATTAGTTTATCAAACTCGGCGTTTCTTCCTCTTCTCACAATAGAAGAATTACACTCCATTTTGTTTTCTTTAAAACGCAATAAATCTCCTGGTGTTGATACAATTCGTATTAATGATCTCTGCCGAAACTTTGGACATGTTCAGCACGTACTTCTCACCATGATAAATCAGTTCTTGGTCTCTGGCGTCATTCCAATTGAACTCAAAACAGCACTTGTGAAGCCTGTTTTCAAGGGAGGATCGCCTAACAAGCCTGAGTGCTATCGCCCTATTTCTATATTACCTTGCATTGGAGAAATTTTGGAAAAGCATTTGTATCTTGTAATGTCCAGCTTCATTGAAACTCACAACATCCTGTCGCCTAACCAGTATGGTTTTGTTGCTGGAAAGGGCACTCAACCACTGCTGGAAGATTTTTCTGACCTACTACACAGTGCTTTTGATCGAAACTTATGTTCATGTGCAATTTTTCTTGATGTCGCCAAGGCCTTTGACACGGTCAGTCATAAGATGCTTCTTTTTAAACTCCAGAATTACGGTTTCCGTGGACTATTTATTGCATTGCTTAAAAATTTCTTTCTTGACCGCTCCCAAATCGTATCTATAGGAAATTTCAAAAGTGCTCGGCTGATGCTAAAAGCCGGTGTGCCCCAGGGATCGGTTTTGTCTCCATTGTTATTTAATCTTTTTGTTAATGATATCTCAACAAGGCTCACTAGTTGCAAAATATTTCAGTATGCGGATGATACTTTACTTGTCTCTAGTCACATTAATTACCGCCAAGCTGTGCAGTTATTGCAACATGATACTGCACGTCTAATGGACTGGTTTTATGACAATTATATTACTATTAACACATCCAAAACCAGACTTTTTTGCTTCAGGAATCCGCTGAAGAGTGTAGAATTGGACTCATCATTTATGTTACACAGTTCCAGCTGCCTTGATTGTACATGTAGCTCCCTGAAATATGTTGACACTGTTAAGTACTTAGGCATATTCTTTGATTCAGATTTGTCGTGGTCAACGCATTTAACCCATGTTTCTGGCAAGCTTCGCAGTGTGTGCTGCTTACTTTACAATAATAGGGTGTTTATGCCATTTGCCGTTAGAAAATCAATTGCTACTGCTCTTGCTTATAGTATACTAAGGTATGGCATCACATTATTTGGTAACTGTGCAGAAATATGGCAAACTAAAATTGACCGCATCCTTAGGAATTTGTTAAGAAGTGTTGGTTATCATTATGATCTTGCACAAGAAGCTGACATTTTTGAGGCTCTACAACTACCTAACTTCCATTCACTTTTTTTGCAATGTGTTGTTCTTTCTCATTTCTGGTGTAGCGAATTTAAACATCCCTTTGTGCCCCGCAGAGATTTGCGTACCTGTGATCGCTTCATAATCCCCCGGTGTTTCACAAGATATGGTAAGCGAGAGCGCTCTTATTATGTGCCATACATTTTTAACCGACTCCCCGACCACTTCTTTGAAGCTACAAATAGGAGAAAATTGAAAAATCTATTGAACAGTTTTACGATTTAATTCATTGTACAATTTCAATAATGTATTGTTGTGTTATAGGTTTTATCTAATATGTTTGCTGGGATATTGTGAGTGATTATTTTCTGTTTCTCACATAGTGCGATACATGTTTTAAATGTGTGCTCTACGGACTTCTTCTATGCTATCTGTGACATTTCATTTGCTGGGTTCTGTCCTTCAAGCCTCTACTGGCTTCGACCGACCCGTCACCTTATAGTGTTATGAAGGTACCTAAATAAATGAAATGAAATGAAAAAAATGAAATTATTATTATTATTATTATTATTATTATTATTATATTATTATTTTTAATATTATTATTATTATAAAACTGTGATGTTAAGCACCATTCAATGTTTGGACAACTGGTTGTAAAGGCGGCTTCTCCTCTTGCCGAGGTGCCGATGGCAGAGCACCCTTTACAGAGCATCTACCTCTGCGTATTTTCCAGATATTTACCAGTGATTGGGATTTCCAGACAGGATACTCATAGGCAGTGTTGCACAGAACGACGTTCCAAGGAACGGCGTTCCTGGAACGCGTTCCTTTGAGGAGAAACGAAAACAAGCCGCCGCTTTGTTTTTCATTGGCGGAACTGGAATGGGAAGTCATTACATTTTTACTGGAACGGAAATAGGAACGGCGTTACTTTTTTCGTCCAGTGACGTACTTTGTATTTCATTTCGAAGAAGGAAATACTAAAAGTATAAAATTTAGATCTTTACGAAGAGCAGAATTTATTAACCTTTTTGGTTACTTATCTTAGAGTAGATTAGTGGAGACGGATTATTTTTTCATTGCCCGAGACTGCGGTTCAAAAAGGGAAACTTTTAGTCGAAGGAAAAGACACAGAAGCAGGAACGTTTCAAAATCAGATACTCTCTCTGATTTCACAAATTCTCATGCACCCAGAAATTATGACCGGCTATAGCTGTCACTGAACTTTCACAAAGAGACCCACAGTTACAACAAAGCAACAGGTTATTGCTCAACTGAAATGCGCCGTTATGTCCCGAATATTGGTTGCTAAAATATACACAAAACTTAATATGTATTTCTTCTTCCCTTGTCCCGAACCTTCAAACTGAACAACGAATCCAACCTTCAAGAAGGAGGACCTATATTTAACAACACTGACCTTCAAAAACCCCCACCCTCTTCTTTACTTGCTCGTCTTGCGGACAGCAACATCGAGAAGCAACTGTTTTTAAGTTCGAACAAGGTACTTTGTTAAATTGAAACATGTGAGGTTGTTGTAAATCGCTAGTGCAATGTGAAGTAGGAGTACATTCGGCTCGTCTGAATCGCCCACCGAAAAATACGGTTAAGAGTTGAGGTTTTTGGATGTGAATTTATCAACAAATGAAACTGCTTCCGCTTGTCTTCTCCTGGTTCCTTTTCATTAGTGCATTCAAAATCATGTTCCCATTTGATGGGATAGATAAAAAAACAATACTTTTCTCGGTCTAACTAAATATGGTAATCGGCAAAATATAAATGTAACGTATATGTAATAATAAGTTAAATTTTTTAACTGTAACGGGAACGACTTCCTTTTTCACATATGGAACTTGTCACAGGAACGCGTTCCAAAAAAATCAGAAGAAACGAGGAGCGAGGTTTCGTTTCTGTTTTTGAGGAACGTGTAAAACACTGCTCCTACGTCGTATTCAGACATGAACCCACGTGAGTGTGCAATGTGAAGTGTAACTTATTTTAAGATTGAGAAGAAAACAAGCCAGTACTTCTGCCGACTTTCATGCTTCGACTCGTATGAACCAGTAAATGTCGTTTAAATCTTGAGGAATATGTCCTCTGGTTCATGTTCCACCTTCTCGCTAACATAACGCGCACGCCAGTTTGTGTGGCTTGCAGTGGAACTTTCGTAAATGTATTCTTTGACACATGAGGAGATCAAAACCCTCGTTATTTCAGCGTTATCTTGACTTTCCGTTTAGACCTGTGGTAACTTCCGG